CAACCTATTTAAAGCCAAGTCCTCTGAGAGGGGGTTTTCCCCAGGGTAAATCCAGATGTGTCAGGAAAAAACCTTAGCAAGGATTTCCAGCCTTGACTACACAGCTTTTGGAAAAACTTAGTAGCCAAACAATATCAAATTTATATCAGATTTGGATCAAGTGGGGGGGTTATATCCAGGATCACTCAGTTCCCTGGGTGTGAAAGTCCTTCAAGCAGCAAAACTGAGCTGTTTTTGAGAATTCCAAGTGTTGTGTCCCTAAGATTTTTAATACAAAAATTAAATTCCTAATATTTAATTGAGACAATATAAAGTGGATTTTTTAGAGTGGCAGAAATGTTTTTTCACCTGGAAGTGTGTTGGGATAATCAATGTTCCTTATGTCAGAATTAAATGGTCCTCTTTATTTTCCCTTCCTTTCTTTCTAGATTGTGGATATTGGGGAGAATATTTGGGATAAAGAAATTAAATACATGAGGGAAGCTTCATGTTACCATGGGAATGCTTTAGGGTTAGGGATGTGCAGCTTCTGAACTGCACAGATAAGTCAGGCTCCCACAGAAATCTTCCAAAGCTGGAAGAGGCAGGGAAGAAAATTCCAAGAGTTGTTTGGGAAGTGCTTTCTCCCAGGTCTGGACACCACTGAGGTTGGAATGACTTAAAAATATTCCTTGTCCCTCTCCTGTTCCCAGCTGGTATTCCCTGAGTGGCTGCAGGTCCCTGGATGTGGAGGGAGGAGGTCTCTGCTGGAGACTGGAGAAATGTCCCTGCTGGTTGCTGGGTCCTTGGTGGGCAGAGAACTCTGATCTCAGCAAGATGTGTTTGTGAGTATTAAATCAATACTACCTCCTTTTTAATGAGTTGTTTTAATTAGTCATCAGCAGGGAACACTTTTAGCCAGCTTTAGTTAGGTTTCTTTTTCACGGATTTCACAGAAAGCTGTTTTGATCATGAAATCACCAAAACCTTAAGTTTGCTAAATTAACCCTGAAATGTTTCAATGAACAAATCCTAAGGGAATTGGGGATTGGATATCTTGGATCTTATGGCCTTTCAAGACCATGTTGGGTTTACCCACTGATTTTGGTTTCAAGGGAAACTCCCAATTAAGAATAATCAAAATATGGATCAGTTCTCATGAAACTCAGCTTTCCAAAACTTTATTTAGGATAAAAGAAGATGAGAATGCCTTTGGGCATAAAAGCACCTGTGAAGCAAAGCAGACTTAAAATGCCTGTACAAAGATTACAGAAAATCATCATGTATATATATGTATATATACACAGATAGATGTAGATATTTTATATCAGTTGCAGGTGAACTGTCAGGGTTGGGTTTTGAAATATATTTTTAACTATGTTCTCTAATTATGCATGTGATTTTTAACATTTAATATACAAGACTAAAGATCTTGCTGGTTTTTGAGCATTGCATTGAAGGTCTATGTGGTTTCTCTTCTTCCCCTGTTCCAGGAGAGTTCTTAAGAAACTTCTGTTATCTGTAAGAAAGTTGTAACATCAGAACTGCCGATTTCAGTGCCTTTATCTGAACTTGATGTATTATCTGTACTATTGTCTAGATGCATTTGTTTTTTGACAGAACTAGGGGGCCAGAAGAGAAAAATGAAGGAAAAGGTTGTAGAGAAGGGGCAGAGAAAGAATGGAGAGAACCCAATTTAGGATTGAAATCCATCAGTCTGCTGCTTCAGTCTCCTGGCATAAGTGGTGAAGGAGATCAGTCAGTGTTGAACGCACGTGTTCCGTGTGTTTGTCCCAGCCAGACGAGGGTGTGGGGGACACTCTGCACCCCAGCCAGGGCAGGGAGGGCTGAGAGGGACAGAGGCTCTCCCCAGCCTGCTGGGAGTGGTGTCACACGAGGCAGGTGCCTGCAAAGGTGCAGAGATGGGCCCATGGTGTCAGTTTGCCATGTGCCTGAGACCCCTGGCACAGGTCTGTGTCTCGCTTTGGAAAGGGTGAGTGTTGCACAGAACAATTCTGAATTGTAAGTTGGGATGTTGTGTGCTGTGGGGACACTTTTTTTGTTTTGAATGGTTCACACTGGAAAGTTTCCTGTATAGGTGACTCTGATCTGCTGGGTTTTGTGCTGCTTCTCCCACTACAAGCTCTGAGCAATGGAAGGATGTGGCAGCTCTCTCACTGAGTTGGCATCCTTGGCCTGAACAGTCATGGAAGCAGCAGGCAGGTTTCTTGCCTGCTGAATCACTTCTTGTGGTGTTAAGGATGACATCAAGTGCTAAAGAAAATTCCTCTCTTTATATGTGACAGCAGCACTGACAGGAGAGGGAAGGACTGGGGCAGAGTACTGAAAAATGCAGAATTTCAGGTGTGACACAAAAGAAAGCTCAGAGTACAAAAAGGGAAATGTGTGCACGCATTTCCTCTCGAGGCAGTTTTGCTGTCCATTCTCATTGTATAGTGTCTTCTAAAAATTAGACCATTTTATTAATTGTGCTTTGCAAAACATTTCTCATACTGACAAGAAACAGATGACACTAAAATCTGAAGGAATTTGGATGTGTAGAAACAAGCTATTCTTTCTTCTACAGTGTGAGGTGCTTGATGTTAGGAAATACTGAAAAGCAAGGAAAAGGTTACAGTTGAGTTGGTCTCTCTTAATTTATTACTCCCCCCCCCTTTTTTTTTTTTTGAAACAGAGATGTAACTGGGATGTAATAAATCCCTAAATCTTAATAACAGAGGAGGCTTAATGGAGAAGTTAACAGTCCTATGAGGTGATTATTTTTGAACTTGGAGGAAGTACACATTGCAGAACCATGTGATGCCACCTGTAGAACACTAAGTGAAATTGGGTTTTTTGTTGTTTTTCTTATTTTTAACCTCAAGGGCTGACACTGTCATCCACAGTCTCAGCCTTCCCAGCACGGCACTGGGTGAATCCTTCTGTCTCTGCTGGAGGTGCAGCTTCACAGACCAGGGGAGGATTCGCTGCTGGGGAAGGGGAGGCCAAAGCTGACATGTGTGAACTGGCAGAGGGACTGGCCTGATTTAAACAACTGAACACAGCAAAGTCACAAGGTGACTCTGCTGCTCCCCAGGCTCCTGCCAGGATTGTGGACACAGGTGGAAATTAAGAGAAAGTGACCCAGACCGAGCTACTTTGTTGTGAAATTGTGTTAGGCAAAGAACAAAAGGATGATAAATCTTGGGCTGAATGGGTTTTTCCCATGAAATACCAAAAGCAATACTGGGAAACTTACTGATTCTATTGATAATGGCTACATAGTCCTGGACTTATCCTATTATTACTTTTCCTTTCAAATACTGGAAATTCAGACTATTCAAATGGAATTGTCTCCTGTCCATGGTATTTTCTTGGTTGTTTTTCAAAACAAAAGTACTTACTCAGTAACAGTTAAAAACTCATGAAATGCATTTGTTTATGACCAATGAAAATGTGTACAACAGGAACACGGCAAGGAGCAGGTGATGCATTAATTCCTGTGTGAAGATCAACCTGTTATCCATCGTGCAGAGACTTCTCTGCCCCTTCAGAACACAGAGACTGAGTTTGGTTGGTTTGAACCAAGGCAACCCAGACTTCCCCTACCTGCTCAGGCAGAGCAGCCACCAGCCTGTGACACCAGAGCTGGGGAGGAACTTCAACCCTTCTGGGGGCTGATCCCCTTTATTATTCCAGCAGAGCCCTTTTGGGGGGGATGCATACGTGTAAATGGCTTTGTTGAAGCAACGTGCTGTTGTCCAGGGCAGTTTGACCTGTTTTGACTCAGCCTTCTTGGGGGGTGAGGATAAAAGGCTGGGGGAGACGGTGGCGACTTAGGGGCTCTGATGTCTTTGGGGCACCCCAATGTCCCTGGGAGTGCCAGGTGGAGGAGCAGGTGAGTGGGGAATGGGGGGGTCCCCAAAGGGACCCCAAACTGCCAGAAAATTCAGAGGTAGGGGGTGTGTGAATACTAAAACTTGTCAAGGTTTTCATTTATACAGACAAATAATACTAATTTTTATATAAATTCATTTCAAAATAAACTCTATCTACTGTATTACATACAGGAATGTAAGAAACTGAATAGAAATCTGTAGAGTTTGAAAGTGATGACATAACGTTTTTATAAATGAATGAAACAACCAAGTGGCTGAAAACGCAAGCTGATCGGACTGTAGGAAATAGAAAGAGCTCTATCCCGAGTTGTCCCTCCGTTCTCTCCCCGGCCCGAGCAGCCCTGGGCCGAGCTGTGCGCTGCTGCTGCTGCCTGCTGACAGAGAGCGGCACTGCCGGCCCCCCACACAGCGCCCTGAGCCTCCCTGCTGTCCCCGGCTGTCCCCTGCTGTCCCCTGCTGTCCCCGGCTGTCCCCTGCTGTCCCCGGCTGTCCCCTGCTGGGTGACACGGGACACCGGCGGCCTCCGTGGCTGCCGAGCACGGGAAGGGCAAGAGCCAGGACCGAGCGAGGTGATGTCTGTAAATAGAGCGGAGGGGTGAAGAAGAGTTAGGAGTGCAAACAGCCACGGCCGTGAGCGGGGCCATGGCGATAAAAGGAGTGGCCGCCGTGCGGGGCGGTGCCTGAGAAGAACGACAGCCGTGTCGCCGGCTGTGCCGGGCCGCACCGCGACACGGCCCGGGGAACACCGGGCGGCCGCAGGCTGGAGAGAGCAGCCCGTGTGCCACTCTCAACATGGCGGCACGGAAGGGAGCAGCAGTTTGCCACTCCCAAGATGGCGGAAGTGATAACAGTCACGTGACAGAGCACCACATATGGCCGGTCGGGGCTGAGCCACACTCAAAATGGAGGGACCGCGACAGAGGCGTCTCTGACTCCGCCTGATGTCCCCCGCGCGGCTCCCGCCAGCCCCCGTCGTCGCTGACGCCACCACCTGTGTCTCCACACCGGAAACGCTGAGAAAAATCGTGCTTAAAGCGCTGGGTCGGCGTCGGGCGGTGGGGTGGATTTCAGGCAGCCAGACGCCTTTGTGAGGAGTGGGGGACCTTAATCGTGCCACTCCAAAGATGGCAGCTTACCCGGAAATGGCTTCCGCCACAATCAAAGATGGTGACGAAGGACGGAAGTCATGTTTTTTTATGCCACATCAAAGATGGCGGTTTGACACGCCGCTTAACGGCCTTCCAAAGATGGCGGCATCTTGCGCATGCGCCTTAGGGATGGGACAAATGGCGGCCCGGAAGGAACATGCTCCGTTCTTTCGGCTGCCTGAACGCGACGCCGGCGCCGACCCAGGTCTTTTAGCGCGATTTTTCATAACGTTTCCCGACGTGGGAAAACGGGTTGTGGGGTCAGGGGAGCCGGGAGCACCCGGCAGGATGCAGCTCCTGTTTCCCAGGAGGTGAGAGCTGCGGGGGCCGCAGCTGGAGGCAGGGTTTGCCAGGCAGGGGCAGCAAGGACAATTCCAGCTCCCAGCAGCTCGCTGGGAGTACTGCATGGACACTGGGCTGAGGAGGTGGGAGGTGTGGATGGTGTTCATGTCCCCGGGAGCTGCTGCTGAAATGGCAGCAGTCTCGTGTGTCTTTGTGGGAACCAGCTGTAACACTGGCAGCCGAATCAAATCTTTTATTAGATTTATATCAGATGTGGTGTTTATAGCTGGGACCGCTCAGTTCCCTGGGTGTGAAAGTCCTTGAAGCAGCAAAGCTGAGCAGTTTTTGAGCATTCCAGGTGTGCTCTGTCCTGCTCTGTGGCCCCCAGAGCGCTTGCAGGGTGAGAGGGGGATGTGGATCTCCACATTCCACATCTCCATTGCACATTTTGGCTGGGAATTCTGTGGGAGCACATGAAGGAACCGGCCAGGCGGGCGCTGCGTGTGAGGCGGGAGATGAGCAAAAGTAAGGGAGAGAAAGGGATTGATCTGAGGGATTGCTTAGACACCCTTAAATGTTCTCCCTCTTTCTGAGGAAGGCTTTCAGCCCTTGTTTCAGTGAAATCCCTTGGGGCTGGGAACGAGCAAGCAAACCAAAGCCGTGGGGTTTGGTCAGGGCCATTCCCGGGGGCTGTGAGGCAGCTCTGGAAGGGTGGAAGGAAGGAAATGCTGCTCCGGGGGGGCTGGCACAGCAGGGCCCAAAGGCTCCCATGGCAGCTCAGGGAAAGAGGAGGTGTGAACCCCTCCCTGTCATGCCCAGTGGAAACAATTGCCCCAGGTGCCAGGGCAGGGAGGAGCTGGAGGAAGGGGATTTGAAAATCCAAGCAGGCAGAACCCACTGGAGATGTGTAGGGTTTTCATCAGGCAGCACTGAGCTGCTGACACAGAATTCTGCAGGTTCCCAGGAACAGTGAGTTTGGATGTTTCTATTCTAAGATCAATTTGGGGACCAGGGGAAGAGAAATGCAATGTGTTAGCTTGGGACGCCAGAATATATGGTTCTCAAAGTTGAATTGGCTTTTTGTTTGACGAGAGGTGAAATTAATATGGTAGATTGTTGAAAACAGTGAAAAAGTGGAATGAAAGGCTCTTTTTGACCCAGACTGAAAAGGCTTTTTTATTTATTTTGTTTTGTGTAGCCTGTCTTAGGGAAATTTAGCAGATCTCACTTTTTTTTTTTCTCCAGCCGACTGAAGTGTTATCTTTTTAATTTCAAAAAGGGTTTGCTGTATGTGTAATATTTCAGTTGTAATTCCACAGTGGAGGAGAGCTTGGAGCAGTCAAGCTGAACCCAGCAGGCCAGGGAGGGAGCGCTGCCCTCATCCAGCAGTGCCCTGAAGGCAGGGAAGGAGAGGAAATCCCAGTTAGGTTGGAATTCCTGCTTTTGTGGCATTCGAGAAGCTAACTGAGTCAGGAGGGAGGAGTTGGAGGCCGGTGTGTGCTTTGTGTGCACCTGGACTGTGCTGAAGGTTGTGCTCCTGCTGGGCTTTCAGACACTTCTCCGCAGCTGAGCAGAGGTGTAAATAACTGTAGTACTGAGGGGTGGCTGTTTGTGCTAAGATGGGGTCCCCTGGCTGGAAAACTTGTTCAGGCTACTCTGAAAAGAGCAGGAGCACAGCAGGGAAAATGTCTGTCCCAGGGCTGTCATCCTGACAAAATAACAATTTACTTGGAATTTTTCTTTTCTTACATGTTAACCGTAAGGAAAATTTGCTGTTGAGGAAGTGAAAGGCAGGGAAACAGGGACAACACCTATGCCAGGAGAAGAGAGATCCTCCCCCCGTTCTCCCCCTCTTCTACCCCACTTCTCCACCCCCTTTCCACCTTGGGAAAAAGCACCTGATGATTTCTGTTCCAAGATTCCATCCTGCTGTTTATGGCCTGTGCTGAGAGAGGTGGAAGTATTTCCCTTTGAGTGTTTTCTGCCAGTCACTAAAAACAGACTTCAGTCTTCTAGTGTCAACTAAATTCTTATTTTTCCTGACCCCATTGAGAACATTGGAATTGGAGAAGAGAAATGATCCTGGTTCTTTCCCTGCTCCACCCTGCCTCTGTACCACTTGATGGTCCCACCAGGACCTGTGATGGGGTGCATGAGAAAAATAAGTTATTTTGCTGATGTAATTGGATTCTAGGTACTTTGCTGTGGATTTGAACTCTTCTGTAGTAAAACTTATAAATCTATTAGATTAGAACAGAAAACCATGGAAAAACTGCCTGGCTTGAAGGGTTTTTACCAGACTAGAGCTGACTACAGAAAATTGGATGGTCAAGGGCTTTGTTGGTCTGGACTTCCAATTTTGAAAGATTAGAAGCTGAAAGCTGCCTGTGTCCTCCAGCAGAGGATTCATTTGGAGTTTGGGAAGAGTTCAATGGAACTTGGAGATGTGACAACTTCCGAAGTGTGAGCTCATGTAAACAAGGAAGCAGATGGAACCTCTGAACTAAAAGTACTTTCATGAAGGTTTTGTGCCACAGAGTAACTGGTGATGGAAAATGAGTTTTCAGGCAGTTGAAAGCTCCATCTTTTCTTTGGAAAAAAAAAAAATAAAAATAAACTGAGGCAAAGGTGTGGCCTGGTTGGTTCTGGATCAGAAAGTGAACTTTCCAAGATTTCTGAAGAGAGGAGAGAGGTTTTTCCCCATTTTTTAGAATTCCGTCTCATTAAGAAGAGGTGTCTGAACCTGACACCCTGTCAGTTCCCTGGGAGAGAGGTGGGCAGGACTGGAATATATTGTTTTATTCAGCCTCTCATCAGTGGGTTTGCCTTTGGTTGTGTCTAAAGCCAAGGGGGAGCTGCTGTCTCCAGTGAAACAAAGCTCTTTCCTCAGCTGAAATGTCTTCCAGCAGCACTGGGAGCTCGGGCTGCTCTTCCTGGCCCTGTGTTTCCAACAGGGCGAGGTTTGTGTGTGCCCTTCCCTTATGGCAGATTCCTCCTGTAGGCAGCTTCTGTCTGTGCAGCCTGTGGGGGCTTTGGGATAGATGGAAAGAGCCTCAAGGGAGTCCAGAGGAGGCTAAGAAATGCTTCAAGAGCTGGGGCACTTATGTTACACAGACAGGCTGGGAGATCTGGGAATATTCAGCCTGGAGAAGAGAAGGCTCTGGAGAGCCCTGAGAGCCCTTTCCAATGCCTAAAGGGTTCCAAGAGAGCTGGTTGGCTTCCCACTGCCAGAGCGTGGGTTTAGATTGGATATGAGGAAGAAATTGTTCCCTGTGAGGGTGGTGAGGCCCTGGCACAGGTTGCCCAGAGAATCTGTGGCTGCCCCATCCCTGGCAGTGTCCAAGGCCAGGCTGGACAGAGCTTGGAGCAAGCTGGGATAGTGGAAGGTACTCCTACCCATTGCAGAGGGTGGAACTGGATAATCTTAAAGGTCCTTCCCATCCAGTCCAATCTGTGATTCCATGATTCCAACATCTCTACACATATGGAGAGCCAAAGTGCAGTGCAGCATCACTGGCACCTGATCTTTAATGTCACTTTGGTGGGCTGATGTTGAGAAATAAGACCTATGGATGGACTGATGAAGTCAGTCAATACTTTTGCCTCCTGTGGTAGAAAACACCTGAGATTCCTTTCCTTGATGGGGATAAACAGCAAACAGTGCTTACAGAATAATGCCTTGGCTGATCTTTATCTTCTCTTGGTGGTTATTGATAGTGGAGGGAGTTGTCTCCAGGATTCCCAGTGTCACTGTATTTGTCCATGGGTTCACAAGGTTCTGAGGTGGGAGTCAAAGCTCTGGGGGTGTGGATCCATTCCCTATTTCCATGCAGCAGGATGTTCTGATGAAAGGTATCCCCAGCCTGTGTCTGCTCAGCTGTCTGGCCACACTGGAGTGAGGGGTTCCGGTCAGGATATCCATTGGCTGAGGAAAGCTGGAAAGGCAGACGGGTCAGTGTTACCAAGAAGGGGGAAAGCCAATCGGAGGAGAGTGATGGCCTGGCAGATTTTGCTCAGAATGTTCAGGGAAGCCTGCATCCCTGGAGCTCATTGTAGGGTCCTGCTGCCTTGGATCAGGGGAGGCTGATTACTGCTGCCCTTTTCCAGCCTTGTTTGCTTTCTGTATTTAACTGGACCAGATCCAATGGAGTTTTGAGCCAGCTACTTGTTGCACACCACCGCATCCCCTGCAACTCCATCTCTCTGGAAAAGGGGGAGGGAGAGGGAAGAGAAGATTCCCAGGGACACAGGACTGAGCTCCTCTTGCAAATGTCTGATGTCCCTTTCCCAGGAGCTCTGACAGGGATTTCTGTGTTCCCAGCCTTTGTGGAATTTGGGGATGGAGATGGGGATGTTCGTGTCTTGGGGCCACTCAGCTCTAAGACACAAAGTGGGAACATGAGGTGACACTCCCAAGGAATGTGTCTTTGAGGACATGCCAGGGAGAAGCAGGAGAATCAGGGCACCCAAGCATTCCCTGAGCCTGGGGAGATGGCAGGTCTCCTGGACCTGGTCCATATCTCCCTCAAGGAATCCCAGAGGTTTCTCTCTTTGGGTGTCAGATGTCCTCTGAGGAAATCAGTGGTGTCTTTAGAAGTGGGCTGGGGACAGAGCAGGCCAGCTCGGGGCCACCGCAGCTATTGACGATATGGGTTGCACACAGACCACACGAAGAGGAGAGAACGTGCAGGGAACGGTCAAAATGTCAAACCAGGGACACACAGAGGAGCAGGAATCAAAGACAAAGCTGATCCTTGGATCAGCTCAGTCATCTCAAAGCACATCAGCCTAAGTCTTTGAAGGAGACTGGACAGTTCAGGGGCACATGAGAATTTTTTGGAGTCAAAGCAAGGTCTAATCTGCAAATGAATTGTTGTTAGAGACCTTACAAGGTGATGCTTCAGAAAATGGAAAATACCTTGCTATTCCTGTGTGCTTCCTGGCTCCTTTTCCAAGTCGGGATTTGTGCTTCCTATTTGCAGTGGAAATACTGAGCTGTATTTGCCTGGAGGTGAGACCAGGCAGATTCCCAGTGGGAACCCCAGCTGGCTGTCTCTTTTATTCACAGTAAGGTTTTATTGATTGGGTGGAAAGATTAATATATGCTGGGTTTCCTCTATTTACTTCAAGCTGCAAATTGGATCAGAGGCCAAGAACAACCAGCATTGCTTCTGGAAGTTCCTCAGAAAGCTGTGGCCAAGTGGGAACAGTTCTCTAAGCCTTTTGTACAATCTGTCTGCTTGTAAGTGTGAACTAGAAATAAAAGTGAGTTACTGGTGAGACTTGTGATTAAGATTTACCTGTTTCAGTGGCCCAAACAGAAAATGCACCAACTCTAAAGTGTGGGGATTCTGGATGTGCTTCCTCAGTTTGACATGGAAAGAGGAAGGAAACAGTTTAACCCTAATCTGAATGTGCCTTCTCTTTTCTGTCCCATGAAGGGAGTGTTGCAGACTGGTGAGAAGAATACATGGTGTAGGGCATGGGAATAATTAATTTTTATTTTGTGTCCACTTCTAATTCCTGATGAATTTCAGGAGGGGTGGAATCCCCTCTCTCTAATCACTGTCTTTGAAGGTGATTTGAACAGACACACAAAACCTTGCCTAATTTTGAAAGTCCTAGTGAGGAAGGGCCAGGATATTATTGCTTCTGTGTCTCGCAGGGTTGAGAACCCCACTGGTTCCATGAATGGAGACAACGGGATTGGTGTTCTATGGGTCCCTTGGCTAATTGCTGACAAGGAAAAGTCCCCACCAAGGTCTTGTCTGTGGCACCTGCAGCTGCTGTGGCCACTGAAATTCAGATTCAGTGGTATTTGAGATGAGCTGTGGCAGAATGGAGGAGCAAACACTTGGGATTGATTTACTGCAAGAACTGAGTTTCAGTCAGCTGAGCCATGGTGAGAAACCTCTCCAGTTTGTGCTTCCATTCAGCTCCTCCTCCTGCCCTGGGCTCCTGGCAGGAGCCGTGGAATGCCGGAATGGTTTGGGGTGGAAGGGACCTTGAAAGCTCATCCTGCTCCACTCCCTGCCACGGGGACAACTTCCACTATCCCAGCTCACTCCAAGCCCCATTGAGCCTGACCTTGGACACTGCCAGAGATCCAGGGGCAGCCACAGCTGCTCTGGGCAACCTGTGCCAGGGCCTTGCTAAAATCAGAGGGAAGTATTCCCTCATAATAGCAAACCTAAACTCTTCAAAACAAGGTGAATCTGCAAACTTCTTTGCTAAATTCTTACTTGTGTTCTGTGGAAAAAACAAAACAACAAACCCAAAACAATCCAAAAATACTAACAAGTGTCCTTTTTCCCCCTCTCAGCAATGTGGCACAGATGCCAATGATGTGAAGAAGTTGGATTTCACACAGTAGAGGCCGTGGTTTATGCAGCAGAGAAGGAGCTGCTGAATATTAAAGGCATCAACCAAAGCTGACAAAATCCCAGTAAAGATGTTCTGGCGCTTTAACCCAAGATATTCCACAGGTTTATTTGTCCTGGCTGAAAGCACTGTGAATTTGGAAGGTCTCCAAAGGGCAGTAAAGGTGATTGGAGGTGTGACATAACTTGTGATGGGACAAGTCAAAATGCACCAGGACAGGACTGAAGTGGAGGATATTTCTGTAAAACACACAAAATGGATGTTGGAGCTTTTTCTTGGAGCAGAATTTCAGTTCTGTTCAGAGGACCAACTCGTGCACAGTCTGTGAAATGTGCACAGAATGATACAGGCACCTCTCCACAAGGCAGGAAATATTAATTACGGGGGGTTAACGAATGGCATGAGCTCTCCTGGCACTGCTCAGACGGGTTTTCCCTCAGGCTGATGCAGCCAAACTGATTCCCAGGGTTTCACCACAGCCACAGAACTCCGCCAACGACGGTCAGAGAGTATCCCAAGCACCACTGATTCCAAAGAGCTGGACAACCTGCATCAAGGTCAGCATTTTATTATTTCTCTTTGCTGCTTAAACTCAGTTATTGGAGTGGGTTTTCCCATGAGTTTGATCTTTGCATGGAACCACATAAGACAAGTCTTGGTTGGATGAAAGACCTCTAGGACTGCTCTTGAATAATTACTTTTATCTTAAAAGCTGTAAAAATAGACTTTAATCCTTTTAGTTGTGATGCAAGACCCAGAGCTGTTTATGGATGTTTCTGGTTTATTTAAGTTTGTGATGTGTTTAGGGAAAACTAAACCAGGCATCACTATGTCCCCATTCCTCTGATAATCTAAAAGTGAAAACAATTTCAGCTCTTCAGCAACACACCTGGACTTCTTATCAACAGCATGAACAAATCTCAGGATGACAAGCAGTTTTCCCTCTTAGTTTTGAAACTTTCAGCCAAATTCAGTGTTTAGCTGAATCTCTATAACTGTAGTATTTTATATGTGGGATAGATACATAGGTGTATTTTTGTAACATGTGACCTTTTAATTTTTTTAATTATTATTATTATTATAATTTTCCCTTCAGGAGAAATAGAAACAGGATCCATAATGGACTTATTTGGGGAATTCCACTTGGGTCCATGTGCTTCCTGGGCAGCATTCCCATGGGACCATACCCTGTGTGTTTTCCTGGATCCCGCTGGTGCAGCAGAATCTCAGTGGCCACAGCTGGGAATTCGGTGAATTGGAAGCAGAGCTGAAGGGTTTGTCCACTAAGAGAAGTGGTGATTATAAACCAAAGCAATGTGGTATTCCACACCAGGGATTTGGGATTGGTGATGGTCCCCATCCATAATCTTTGTTCATTTTCTTTTGGATGCTGCAGCCTGGTGGGCTGGGGGAGCTGCTCCTTTCCATTTCCATTTAATTTTCTGTATTTCATTAATTCTCTGTGGAAATCTGCTTTTAATGAAAGGGCCCAGGAGGATATTGATGTCGTCCCAGGTTCCTGGGATCCACAGCTCTGTGTTCAGACCAAGGATTGTTCTGGCTGGCAGAAGCTGCACCAATCTCCCAGGAATCTCAGTCTGGATTTTCTTCTCCCAGTTCTCAGCTTGGGGGTGCAGTGCAGCCCTGCCCTGTGTATCTCCTAGAAGAGTTTTGGTGTTAAAAAGGGTATTTTGTATTCTGTAGTACTTGTAACTTGATAAAAAAGTATAAAACTGTATCAATGTGGTTTTGATTGGTTCATTTGCATTCGTTAATTAAAGCAAATAACTGAGAAGGGGTTTGAGCAGCCCTTGGTTGGAGCTGGCAGCTCTTTTTTATCTCTTCATTCTCTGAATTTCTTTGAATTATTCCTTAAGCAGTTACTGCAACCCAGATGCACAATGAGGAGAACAGCATTGCTGCCCTGCTGGATTGGGAAATCCAAGTGCAATTCCTCAGAGGGATGGAGGGGATGGGGATCTGAGCCTCAGGCTGGGTTTTGGCAGCAGGAATTCAGTGAGGAGGGGAGAGGGGAGATCCCCCAAAACTGGTTAAAGCAAATTCTGGTGGGTTTGGGTGCCCCCACTCCAAAAAATGATCCTGGTTAAAGGGGAATTGAGGAAGCAGTGGGATGTGTTGGGGGGGGGCTGTGCTGGAACCCCCAAACCCTGGTCAGGGATGCCGGGCTGTGACAGCTCCATGGGGACATTATGGGGGGGCTGTGCTGACACCCCCAAATTCCAGCCAGGAATGGAATGGCAGCCAGGTGGAGTGGGGGGGCACGACGGGAGGGGTTGTTCGTTTGTCTGGCGATTTTTATGTCTGTTCACGCTGCAGTGATGTGACCCCCTCTGCTTTCCCCTATCCCTCCCGCCCCCCGGTCCAGAGAAGGGGCTCCAGAGGAGGGGGCGGGGACTGGAGGGTGCGATGTGTGTGAACAGCCCCG